AGCGAATTATTGGCTGTTTCCGGTAAGACTGAAACATGGCGTCTTTCCGCCTCATGTCTCAACTCTGACTAGAGGAACTCTAATCGCGACTGGCGCGCGCGCGCGAGAGTCACGAGAGTTTACGCGGCACTCACACTCATCAGTGAACTTGTCGACTTCCGCGAGGGTCGGCGCGGCGCCGTCGGCGGTCCTGGCATTTAGCGAGACAGCGAGAGCGAGCGGCGATTTGATGACGGACCGCAGTCGGCGCTCGGCGCCCGTCGTTCGTGTCGTCGCGTATCGTGTGCGTCGTTGTGTCGTCGTCGACACGGGAGTCACGTCACGAGAGACCGACGAATAGAGTGGTGATCGCGCGTCGGGAAAGAGCGTGCAACACCACCACACGCGCGTGCGAGCGCGCGCGCACGCAGCCAGGCGAGCCAAAATGGCTAATTGTCAGACTGGTTGGTGCAGCAGGTGAGCAAGCAGACTGCGCGATTTCCCGTCGTCGTCGTCGTCGTCGTCTCTGTCTTTGTGCGTGTGCGATGGCACATCGTCGTCGTCGTCGTCGTCGTCGTCGTCGTCATCGTCATCGTCTGTCTTCGCCGTCGTCGTCAAGCGGGGAAGGATTAGCTTGAGAAAGTCGCGTTTTGCAATTCATCGCCCCGGTGAAATTCGTCATCGACCGTCACACATTGACGATCGCCACCGTCGTCGTCGATCGTCGGCATCGATTGCGTCTCTCTCTCTCTCTCTCTCTTTCTGCGCGCCGCTCTCCGTGGATAACGAGCGCCCCCGTAGTGTCCGTCCGCCTGCGAAACGCCCGCTGGCTTTCGCGCGCGCGAGTGCCGAGCGTTTTCGCGAACGTCAGTAGGCCCCCCCGTCGGTTGGGTGTGTTGAACCCTCGACAAGGAGGGTCGGCCACTGGGATTCCCCCCCTGGGATGGCACACGGGATGGAGCCGGGGAGAGTTGAGAAATCACGCGCGCCTCCGAATGCTGGCGCTGGCGCGTAGATTAATTTATTACGCGCCTCTCGCGAGCGAGACACGCGTTGCTCCTCGCGCCGCGAGCCT